GTTTTCCGGGCTGTATGGCCATGTTCCAGAAGCATTCTCTCCTGACGTTTCTCCTGCATCTATGGCAGGCATCCTCAGGGGTTGGAAACTAGGAAAAATTGGGTTTATATATTGGTGGGATAATGTCCAGGGTGGGAGAAAGAACTCTTGTCTGTTGGAGGCAAGTTTAAATGTTGCAATTGACCACCTTGATTAGAATTTTTAATGTTTATTTTTATTTTATTAGAAATACAAAGGGAGGGGTAAGGTGGATATAGGAAAGGGGAGGGGGTATTTATTTATCGTGTCAGGAGCAGACCACAAACAGTTGTATTGCATTTTTTAAACCAACAAACAAACAAACAAAACACAAAGTTTGCAAGCTTGGTAGTTGATTAAATGTCTCACCTCTGAGGATGCTTGCCATAGATGCAGGCGAAACGTCAGGAGAAATGCCTCTAGAACATGGCCATATAGCCCGAAAAAACCCACAAGAACTTAGTGATTCCAGCCATGAAAGCCTTAGACAATACATTGAACATCTCTACAGGGAGAAACTGTTCCAAGACACACGAAAATTGGAAAAACTACGAACCAGGAAAGCACATCTACTGTGCTCCCTGACTTTCCTTCTACGCTGCAGAGACACAGATACCATCCCACAATTTCTCGCAATCAAAAGGACTTTCAAGAAGAGTTTGCTCCAGGCACAGTCAGCCCATTGTATGCTAATCAAGGTGGTCAGTTGAAAGATTCACAACTAGCCCAGCTTACAAAAAGCCCTTTGTCTCACCATGCACAAAACCACGTATATACACTAGGGCTGGGCGGTTTCGTTTCGTTAATTCGTAATTCGTTAAAAATTCGTTATTTTTTTTTTGGTTAACGAAGCGATAACGAACCATTCTGGAGCAACTTAAAAACGAAACGAATTTTTCAATTCGTTTCGTAAATGCTTCGTATTTCGGTATGTATTCGTTTCGTTATTGGTTTGAGGTCGTTTCGTTATTATTTCCGCATGTCTGGGGCAAGTTTTATAGTTGTTTTTTGTTTAATTAGTGAAAAAAAATTATAATATCACACCAACAGTCAACAACAGAGGGAGAGGGAAGCTTCAGAAGTTCCCTCTGTCCCATTTGGAGGTTTTTTAGCGTATTGCGCGGTCGCGTCCGCCATTAACGAATCGATTCGTTATTGTTTCGTTTTTGTTTTGTAATTTTTTTACCATTTACGAAATTTCGTAAATATCGAACTTTTTTTAAAAAAAATTCGGAATTCTTTTAAATATCGAAACGCAAAAAAACCCCCAAAAACGAATCGATTTTAGAAACATATTTTTCCGTTGTTACCCAGGCCTAATATAAACCCCTTTTTTCCCAGCTCCAGCAGACCTCACCTCTGAGGATGCTTGCCATAGATGCAGGCGAAACGTCAGGAGAAATGCCTCTAGAACATGGCCATATAGCCCGAAAAAACCCACAAGAACTCACTGATTAAATATCCTTTGACCAGTAGCTGGGGAGGGGGTAAAAACAAAGGAAAGTGGGAGAACAATAAGTAAAGTGGGAGAACAATAATAAGATAGAAAAGAAGAAAAACAAAGGAAAGTGGGAGAACAATAAGTAAAGTGGGAGAACAATAATAAGATAGAAAAGAAGAAAAATAAGACAGAAAGATAAAAACAAAGAAAGAAAAAAATAAATATTATATTTCTGATGACTTCCTTCTAGTCCTTTGCAGCTTATGTTTACCTTGATTAGCATTTAATGGCTTAGCAGTTTCAAGGTCTGGCTTTCTACTGCCTGAGGGAATTCTTTGCTAGGAGGTGATTAGCTGGCCCTGATTAGTTTTTTTTTTTTTGGTCTGGAATTTCTGTATTTTTGAGTGTTGTGCTTTATTTACTGTTATGATTTTAGAGTTTTTTTTAGTACTGGTAGCCAGATTTTGTTCAGTTTCATGGTTTCTTCTGGCTTACCAGTATTAAAATAATCCAGCCACAGGGAGATGCTACTGGTGGCCAGCTACTGGTCAAAGGGCATTTAATCAACTCCCAAGCTTGCAAACTTTGTGTTTTGTTTGTTGTTTGTTTGTTAAAAAATGCAATACAACTGTTTGGTTTGCTCCTGACACGATAAATAAATAAATAAATAAATAAATAAATAAATAAATAAATAAATAGATAGAGGGATGCTGTCGCTCCATCTTCTTGCCGAAGAGCTTTCTCTGTTTGTAAACTTTCATCCAAAATGCCACACCTAAAATACCTCCTCGCTTAATGCGGTTCCTATTCATCTACTCGCATTGGTGTTTCTGATCCGCTAGCTGGGCGAGGGAGCTGGGCTGAAGGTCAGGAGCTCACCCTGATCCGGCTTCGAACTGTCAACGTTTCGATTGGCAAGATTTACTGCAGCTACAGCTGGTGATTAACCTGCAGTGCTAAAAGCCGTCCATATTTCTCTATGAACCTGTTAAAAATCTATTGCAATCTGGGAAGGGCCTTCTCTCTGTCCCAATATGTACGATTGATGGGAAGCAGGAAGAGGGCCTTTTCAGTGGCTCCTCCTCAACTTTGGAACTCCCTGCCAAGAGACTGACCAGGACAACTTGGCTTCCACAGACCTTTCTACACCAGCAGGCATTTGGAGGAGCATGAGGGGCATGCTGCTGGGAAGGGTGTCAAGGGAGTTGGGGATATTTCGTTTTAAATGCAATTTAATTGAACAAGTATTTAACTGCGTTTTAACTTACATCCATGACACAGTATTTGCTTTTAAGTTTCATATTTATCATTTTAAAATCAATTGGGTTATGTTATGTTATTGTAAGCCACATGGGCAGAAAGATGGGGTAGAAATAATGTAAGCCAGTAAATAGATATGGGTCTCGTCAAGGAAAATACGTCGCTACAATTTGTGTGGGTCCTGTTTATCTGCATGAGAAAGAAGCCCAGCATGGAAGCAAAGAAGGAAGTATAAAGAACTTTGTTCATGGGTTGGCACTACAAATAATTTGTGTGGGTCCTAGTGCCTTATGCTTGTGTTGCCAGTAATGTAAACATCAGTGTTAATAGGCTTCAGTGTGAAGTAGGCCTCAGTGTGTAAGAGGCCTGGTGTGAGGAGGCTTCCGTGAGAGAAGCCCCAGGTTGAAGGCCTCATGTGTAAAGCTTCAGTGTGAAGGCTGCGGTGTGTAAAAAGCTACTGAGTGAAGCTCTTGTGTAAGTTCGGTGTGAGAGGAAGCTCAGTGAGAGTGAAGCAGTTTATCTGCATGAGAAAGAAGCCCAGCATGGAAGCAAAGAAGGAAGTATAAAGATCTTTGTTCGTGAGTTGCCGCTACAAATTGTGTGGGCCCTAGTGACCTATGCTTGTGTCATCAGTAATATTCAAAATTAACTAGGCATTTTTAATTACAGAAATGTGAGTCAAGCACTGAAAGGGTTAAATGGATGTAATGACTCAGCAAAAGCTGCAGTTCAATATAAGCAGGAATACCTGTAGCCTAGTATGCCTCAGTATGCCACAGCATCCTCCTGTGGCTGAACTAGTATGCTGCCCTCAGTATGAAGAGGCTTCAGTCTGAGAGAGGCCTCAGTGTGAGGTAAACTTCAGTGTTAGTAGGCCTCAGAGTTAGTAGGTCTCAGTGTGTAACCTCAGTGTTAGTAGGCCTCAGTGTGAAGTAGGCTTGGTGTGAGAAGGCTTTGGTAAGAGAAGCCCCAGGTTGAAGGCCTCATGTGTAAAGCTCAGTATGAAGAGGCTTCAGTCTGAAAGAGGCCTCAGTGTGTAAGAGGCCTGGTGTGAGAAGGCTTCCGTGAGAGAAGCCCCAGGTTGAAGGCCTCATGTGTAAAGCTTCAGTGTGAAGGCTGCTGTGTGTAAAAAGCTACTGAGTGAAGCTCTTGTGTAAGTTCGGTGTGAGAGGAAGCTCAGTGAGAGTGAAGCAGTTTATCTGCATGAGAAAGAAGCCCAGCATGAAAGCAAAGAAGGAAGTATAAATAACTTTTTCATGGGTTGTTGTAGGTTTTCCGGGCTACTGAGTGAAGCTCTTGTGTAAGTTCGGTGTGAGAGGAAGCTCAATGAGAGTGAAGCGGTTTATCTGCATAAGAAAGAAGCCCAACATGGAAGCAAACAAGGAAGTATAAAGAACTTTCTTTGTGGGTTGTAAGTTTTTCGAGCTGTATGGCCATGTTCTAGAACAGGGGTCCTCAAACTAAGGCCCGGGGGCTGAATACGGCCGTCCAAGCTCATTTACGCGGCCATTTACGGGCCAACCTAACTCTGAAACAATTTGAAAGCACACAACAATCCTATCTCATCTGCCAAAAGCAGGCCCACATTTCCCATTGAAATACTAATAAATTTATATTTGTTAAAAATGTTCTTCATTTGAATTATTGTATTGTTTTAAAGTGTTTTTTGCACTACAAATAAGATATGTGCAGTGTGCATGGGAATTCATTCATGCTTTTTTCAAATTATAATCCGGCCCTCCAACAGTTTGAGGGGCTGTGACCTGGCCCTCTGTTTAAAAAGTTTGAGGACCCCTGTTCTATAAGTATTCTCTCCTGACGTTTCGCCTGCATCTATGGTAAACATCCTCAGAGGTTGTGAGGTCTCACAACCACTGAGGATGCTTGCCATAAATGTAGGTGAAACGTCAGGAGAGAATGCTTCTAGAACAGAGCCATATAGCCCGAAAAACATACAACAACGCAGTGATTCCAGCCATGAAAGCCTTCAACAAAACTTTGTGTTATGGAAACTTTGTTGTTGTAAATAGTGCAACCATATTATTTTGCTACAAAGAAAAGCCTCCTATGGAAGATGTAACGTTGGTTTGTGTGTTTTTGTCTACTGGTGTTGGGTCATGCTGGTGCTAAGAAGTCACTCTGCTATACATTTATGGGGAGGGTCTTTTGTTAATAAGCCCACTCGCCCAACGTGAGGCACAAAGGATATGGATGCAAAATTTGACAGGAAAGACCAAACCAAGGCATTTCAGTGTTTCAAATGACACCCAAGACAGCTTCCTTTGTTAAGCATACAGGTCTGCTTTATTTCCAATCTTCAACCTGTGGAGAGATCCTGTCACAATCTGAAGGGAGGAGGGTAAAGCCCACTGTAGTGCTGCTTCAGCACACTAAAGCACGCCGCGCAGAGAACTGTTCTTTTGCTGGTCATTGCCCTGACAAAACCCACGCCGGTCCGTGCGTTTGGGACGCAGTCCGCTGCAAACTGAAGCATGGTGTGTGTTGTGGCAAGATGCTGGAAAATGGGCCAAGGCTGTGCTGGAAAGGGCAACAGTTCCAAGCTGCCCAGTTAGGGAGCCCTGCTCAGGTGTGCCAAGCAGCAAATACCGGTGGGTAGAATATTAAAAATTAAGCCAAACCCTCTCCTGGGAATAGAATAAAAATTTAAAAGCAGTGCCGCCTTTCAAAGGACCCCACGGGAGGCAGTGAGAACCAGAAGGCACTACAATGTGTCAGAATGAATAAACCCTAGGCATTCACCGTCCAGAGAGATAAGATGGAGTTGTCAGAATTCCAAGCTGTGTAGACCTTTTGAAAATGAACGATTTCCCTTCTCGATGTAAGATGTGGTGGTGCTGTAACGGAATGAGGAGAAGGTTAACTGAAGGACTTGAGCATTTCAACATGCTGCCCACCACTTCTTACTAACCATCTAACAGTGGTCGGTCCCCAGGTGTTTTGGCCTACAACTCCCAGAAATCCCAGCCAGTTTACCACCTGTTAGGATTTCTGGGAGTTGTAGGCCAAAACATCTGGGGACCCAAAGGTTGAGAACCACTGATCTAACACAAGGAGAGCTTACCACAGTTTTCGGATTACTCTGGCTCGACAACAGTAATAATTTCTTCATTGATAAAAAATTCAACGGTCTCCTCCTCCCAGTCGTCTACATTGCTGTCCAGCTCATCAGTGTCCACTCCTGGAACAAAGGGGAAGACATAAGTCCTGGATTCACCAAAGTCCTGCAGATGCCATTATCTTCCAGATAAAATAGACTGTGAATCATACTAGCGCACAGCAAAATTGCTGAGATGACGGGTGAATTTAGTGATTGTTGGAAATAACAACTCTTCCAAGCATTTGCTATTTGTTTGTTCAACTACCCTGATTTTATATTACATTGTGTGCTTACTTTGTTTTGTTTTTGGTGTTATTATTTTTATTATATTTTGATGTATTTTTATGTTGTACTAGCCATCCCCTGCCTTGCACTCAGTCTGTGTTTATGTGTTTTGTGTGTGTATATATTTGTGTATATGTTTGCAAATATATATATATATATACACACACACACACACATATATATATATATATGGATGGGGGGGGGGTGTTGAGCATGCGTTGTATTTTTTGTTTTTTGGCTTTTAAAATTTCTTCTGCTGTGTTTTTCAGTGTTTTTATGAGTGATGGTCACTTGTTGGCCTGATGGGTGGATTCTGTCCAAATTTCATGTCAATTTGTCCAGTGGTTTTTGAGTTATATTAATCCCACAATGAACATTACATTTTTATTTATATAGATATCTGATTTTCTGTAATTGTTGGGCCTGGCCTCATGTAAGCCGCCCCGAGTCCCATTGGGGAGATGGTGGTGGGGTATAAATAAATACATTATTATTATTATTATTATTATTATTATTATTATTATTATGTTATGTTATATTATATTATTATATTATAGGTAAAGGTTTCCCCTGACATGAAGTCCAGTCTTGTCCGACTCTGGGATGTGGTGCTCATCTCCATTTCTAAGCTGAAGAGCCAGCGTTGTCCACAGACACCTCCAAGGTCATGTGGCTGGAATGACTGCATGGAGTTAATGTTTATATTTGCTAACCTGTATTGTATGTATATATTGATTTGCCAGTTTGACTGTACCTTGGAGGGGCTACAGACATGTGATTGTACTGAGCATGTTCAGACTCAAGACTCCATTTTGTTATCAGTATGCATTTGGATTTTAATGTTAGCAGTTCGCTTTAGACTTCAGTGGAGGTGGATGAAGTCTGCTTTTGGACTTCAATGGACTTATGCAGGAACAGTTTTCTGGATATTTGCTTTGAGTAGTGAGTACAGTTCTACAGTTTGGACTTTCATAAGATGTATACTGAAAGACTTTAGACTATTAAGAATGATGCCCTCAGCACAACCCCATCCTATCTATAAATGTGCCTGTATGCTGAATCAATACAAGATGTTTGTGAGTAAACAAGGTATGTTACCTATGTTCTGGGCAACTGCAATTTGAACTTCAACTTCAAAAAAACATTTCAAAACTCTGCTAGCTAATATATCTCTATTTTTGTGCAGTGGCATGTCTTTGTTAGTGGCAGTTCAAAGACATGGTTTTGTCAGTTTAACAACTAAGTTACCTGTGTGCCATTACATGAATGCTTGTGAACACCACTATTTCAAAGGGTTGACTTCTAGAAGTTTTAAAAAAGAACCTTAAAACCTGGTTCTTCCATTACACCTTTGATGAGTAGGTATACAATTTCACATGACTGTTTAGCCTTAAAGTTTTGTCATTGGAGTAGATGCCCCCCCCCTCGTGGGAAAGTTTGACTCCACAACCCCCTCCAAAATGATTTCTCCTCTGCATATTATCTGCTTCTCTCTTTTATCTCGTTTGAGTTTTTAATTAGTTTTAATCAGTTTGTCTTTTAACTATTACATGTAGCCCGCCCATTGTTCACTGTGCCTGTGTCTATTCTAATTCTCATATTGTTATGTATCCATATGTTTTATATAATTATTATGTTATTGTCTATTGTTCACATTTTCGGTTATGTTTTGGTTTCTTTACTGTAATTGTTGTTCGGGCCTGGCCCCATGAAAGCTGCTCTGAGTTCCCATTGGGGAGATGGTGGCGGGATATAAATAAAGATGATGATGATTATTATTATTGACTTCTAACAAGGTCATGCCTTTCCTTGACTAGGTTTTCCAAAAGTGGTCTCCAGGTGTTCATGGAGATTCACAGTTGCCAAAAGAATATGACATAATTTTTCCATTTCAAAAAGATTATGAATATTATTTTTCCAAAAGTGATACCATGTACATTCTTCCGCTAATAGCACAGGTGTCAAAGTCAAGGCCCATGGGGTAAATCCAGACCTGTGTCATTTTATATGGCCCACCAGATGCTGGACCACAACACCTTCGCAGAAGCATACACGAAGCTTGGCCTGTCATTAAACATCGAGAAAACCAAAGTGCTCTTCCAGCAGTCACCAGCCATCCCCTCCCCAATGCCAGTGATACAGCTTAATGGTGTAACATTAGAAAATGTTGACCATTTCTGCTACCTTGGCAGCCACCTCTCCACCAAAGTCAACATCGACACCAAAATACAACACCGCCTGAGCTCTGTGAGTGCAGCATTTTCCCGAATGAAGCAGAGAGTGTTTGAGGACCAGGACATCCGTAGGGATACCAAGGTGCTTGTCTATAAAGCTATTGTCCTCCCAACCCTGCTATATGCCTGCGAAACGTGAACTGTCTACAGACGTCACATGCAACTCCTGGAACTATTCCATCAGCGCAGCCTCCGGAAAATCCTGCAAATATCTTGGGAAGACAAGCGGACAAATGTCAGCGTGCTGGAAGAAGCAAAGACCACCAGCATTGAAGCGATGATCCTCTGCCATCAACTCCGCTGGGTCGGCCACATTGTCCGGATGCCCGACCACCGTCTCCCAAAGCAGTTGCTCTACTCAGAACTTAAGAACGGAAAACAGAACGTTGGTGGACAGGAAAAGAGATTTAAAGATGGCCTCAAAGCTAACCTTAAAAACTCTGGCATAGACACTGAGAACTGGGAAGCCCTGGCCCTTGAGCGCTCCAGCTGGAGGTCAGCTGTGACCAGCAGTGCTGCAGAATTTGAAGAGGCACGAATGGAGGGCGAAAGAGAGAAACGTGCCAAGAGGAAGGCGCGTCAAGCCAACCCCGACCGGGACCGCCTTCCACCTGGAAACCAATGCCTTCACTGTGGGAGAAGATGCGGGTCAAGAATAGGGCTCCACAGCCACCTACAAATCCACAAGGAAACCCATCATGGAAGACCATCTTACTCATCCAACGAGGGATCGCTTAAGTAAGGACCACAACTCCTGTATTCCTCGTCATTAGACATCATGACTAGAGCCGATAGGTGTGGGGATACTATGACATCTGAAAGCCTGCAATTTGTTCAGTTTAGTCAGGAGAGTGGGGTTTGAATTTAGATACAAGTCTAGTGGATAGGATGTCCGGAATAAAAATGTCCTTTAGTCTTTCCCTAACCTCAGAACCACAAGTGCTGTTTGGTTACAATTCCCATTATCCCCCGTTCGTATGGCAATGTCTCCCAAGTTACCTCCTCTGAGTTCTAGCCGCTCATCCCTCTGTTTCATGTACAGCTCTTGCGCCATTTGGCGGTATTTCTTGAACTCTTCCATCATTGTTCGCCTTCTATCTACCAATTCCTACGGAAAAGAAGGTTGCTGTTAAAACCTGCCTTCATGATGTACTTAGAAATCTGTCCAATTGTTATTATTTGGAAAAAGTAGTTTCTTCCAAGACTGTAGTTCTCAAAATTCTTCCTTGTCAAATATTTCCAAAGAACTACAGTATCAAGGAGTTTTCTCTAGTGCAAACAAAATGTCCACTTTTATGGTGAAAAGACAGTTTGGGGTACCACTCCCAAAATATAATTTCTGCTCCATTTTTCCCATAGGAAGAATGATTTAGAGTTTACCTTTGAGGCTTTGGATTGGCTGAGACGATCTTTCTGTTCAAATATTTTGGAGTAGCGCTTCAGGTCCTTCTTGATTTGCTACAAGGAGGAAAAAACAGTTTAAAAGCATGTCAATAAGGTTTTCTTGTTAATATGGAAAGTTGGTGGTTTTCAAGCACTCAGTAATCTATGCAACAACCCTCCAGATTTTTTTAGAATATTTTACAGGTTTCCCCCCCCTTAATTATGAAGATGTCCTGAATCTTCCAGATTTCCCTTTAGTCCTCTGTTCATACCAGTAATTAAATTGATAAAGGGCAATTGTTGTAGTTCAGCCTTTGATGGTGCCTGTACCTGATCTCTCTGGGGTTTCTGGGCTTGTAAAGTCATTCTGATGACATTGGGGATTCTGGGTCTGCAAGTCAGACAGAGATTTTATACCCTGAAAATGAGCGATCTGGGTCTGAAGGTCACATTCCTAAAACGCAGTTTATTTGTTTATTTTATTTCAAGTATTTGTACTCCTGAAGGGGGACTCAAGGCTTACAGCTGGCAACAATTCGATGCCTCCCACGTACTCACAAATAAAACAGCAATTACAAAATAGATAAAACATTAATATAAATTAAAACCATTTAAAATAGTGAAAATTCAATTAATTGGCCAAATCTAAATCAGAGTTCTACAATCAACTACTTGGTCCGGAGCCTGTCCATAGTCCATTTACCATAGCATTGTCATCATTTATCAACCTACTATCCAAATGCCTGGTCCCATAGCCACGTTTTCAACTTTTCCTAAAGGACAGGAGGGAAGTAGTTGACCTTATTTCGCTGGGGAGTGAGTTCCACAGGCGGGGGGCCAACGCCGAGAAGGCCCTGTCTCTTGTCCCCGCGTTCATTAGGGAAGCCAGGTCACAAATATATCTGAGTTCAGAGGATGAAAATGACCGTCCAGGTGGACAAGCTACTGAGCAGTTAGATAGGAGATTAACGTTCCGTCAACATAGGGCTTCTCAGAACAGTGTATGAAGTTCAAGACGATTGTTAGTAAAGGAATCCTTATCGGTTTCCAAGGGGAGAAGGCATGATTTTCTCTCTATATTAGCTAGCTCAATGGTGGTGATTGAGTATAAATCTATTTTCAAGTCAAGGGATTTCTAGTTCCATGCTTCCTTTTGTTCATGTCTCATGATTCCAAGTTTGCAGATTGTTCCTGAACCTCATGTTTTGGATTTATTCTGCTTTGTTATTCCTGGTTTTTGATGCTACTCCTGTAACTTTGATTTTTGTGGATTATTCCCAATATTTGGACTTTGGTTTTTTTAAATACTATTTTGCTGAATTTTATTTATTTAGTTTTCAATATTTCAATATTTCTACCCCGTTCCTTCTCAACCCCCGAAGGGGGACTCAGGACGGCTTACATTTGGCAGCAATTTGATGCCACTATATATAAACAAAGCAATATAATATCAATTAAAACAATAAATAGAACATTCATTAAAAACAATAAAAACAGTATTAACAGCCATATCACCATATATATGAATTGCTTTTCATATATATTCAATAAACTGCTTTGCTATTTTACCTTGGACTGGAGTGTGTGTTAAGTACAGAGGTGGTTCCTGGCCTTGGAGTGCAACAGCAATTTTGCACAATCACTATCTAAGTACAAAAAGTCCAACTGCCAAGCAGTGACTTCTACTTTTAAAAAAACACTAGTATGGCAAAACTAGTGGGCAGGATTAATTCTTGGCCGGACCACAGTTACATAAAACAGCCAAACACCATTAAATGGCTTCATTTTTGGTCCCAGCATATCCATATGAACATTAGGAAGAACTTCCTGACAGTGAGAGCTGTTCAGCAGTGGAACTCTCTGCCCCAGGGTGTGGTGGAGGCTCCTTATTTGGAGGCTTTTAAACAGAGGCTGGATGGCCATCTGTCAGGAGTACTTTGACTGCAATTTTTCTGCTTCTTGGCAGAATGGGGTTGGACTGGATGGCCCATGAGGTCTCTTCCAATTCTAGGATTCTATGGTTTCTTCAGAAAAGCAGAAGAAATGTAAGATAAGAGAGGATTAATTGGGACTGTCCCTGTCAAACCTGGACAGCTAAAGGGTTTGCAAAAGCTCTCCCAAACAAGGCGGCAACTTAAGATTTATTAACACGAGACTTCCAAGGGAAGCCTGGAGGGCATATCAAATTCATAAGGACACCATTTCCCGCCTAAGATGTGATTAAGTGAAACTGTGGATGTGGTTACACAGTTATGGGGTCTAATTGTAGCAGATTACACAAAGCCTCTCACTAGAAGGGGCACATCACCTTGATCTGATCTTGGGTGAGCAAAGTAGGCGGCCTGGGTCTCCACAGTAACTGGCAGAATCGGTCTTTGTTGTTCTTCTGGAGGAGGCGTCCCTGGAAAGTCCACAGCCAATAGGCATTGTCCACCTGGAAATACATTACGATCAAGTTGTAACATACATGCTGCAGCATTCTGTGGTCGCCAGCATGCAGGCCTGAGGCCAGAGCATCCACCAGTACTACAATGTGAAACAACGTCTAAATACAACAAACATGTGCTTTCACTTTCATATGGTAAACGTTTAGTATAATGACCTGAATTATGTGGAAAAATGCATTCACACAGACTGTCATTCACCAGAAGAAATCAAAGCATCACAGTGAAATGAGGAAACAGCCTGAAAAACTCTAAAATAAGTACTCAAGGGTGATTCAGTAGGGCCAGAAACAAAAAGAGAATGGTGGTGTCGTAAAAACATATCCTTCTTCAGGAACTATGAATAATAATAATAATAATAATAATAATAAACCTTTATTTGTACCCCGCTACCATCTCCCCAAGGGACTCGGTGCGGCTTACATGAGGCCGAGCCCACAATACAACAATAAAAACAATAGCAACCGTAATACAAACAATAAATAAACTCATAAACAGAAAATAGCAATATACATTAACAATAACACAACGACGTTTAAAAACCTATGGCAGGGCCAAATGTACTAATTAAAATTTTAAAAAAATAATGCTGGGCGTGACCAGGTGACATATAAACAGGATAGAAATTTTGGAGAGGGATAGAGCATGTAGATGATCCTAGATCACTAAAAAGTGCATTTAGGGACATATTGCTGGGAGTTTCCTTATTCTGGGAAGGCACACTGGAATAACCCTACTGAATATATAGTTCTAGGAAATATATTTTACAAATGCATGCAGAATAGTAAAGAAGGAATTATCCGGAAGCACTTAATTTGGGAAAATAAACACTTTGGTGATGTTTGCATCACTTCTGTTCTTTTTAGTAGGAGCAGAACTGCTACGCACTTCTCTCAGGAATGAAAAAGGGAAATAGAAACAATGTGCAGTGTAATCATGAATAGACCCGACAAGAGCTCAAATACAAAAGGCTATCTAAATAGATAGCAATGCACTCACTCCCTTAAAATATAAGTTGGATAAAATAGGAAAATAGTTTTCAGAATACCTTGTGACTCCACCAAGACACGGAGGTGATGACGTAGCGGCCTGTGGGATCCCATTCGACATCGGAGGCAGTGTAATGCTCAGCAATGTTCATCATGGTGCAATCAGATGTATCTACAAATGCTAAGGCACCATTCATGCTGTACAGAAAGGAAAAAAAATTGTATGTATAGTAAACAAACACACACTTTGTGGAAAAGTGGACTTATGTTTCTTCCATATGAAAGGAAAACGCAAATTTACTGATCTAAGATTCTATAGAACACTTCCAAGTAACAGTTCATCTTACAGCCCAGAAATATTAAATGGATATGAGGCACTAAAGAACTATCTATATAAATAAAAACGTAATGTTTGTGGGATTAACATAACTCAAAAATCACTGGACGAACTGACACCAAATTTGGACATAATACACCTATCAGGCCAATGACTGACCATCACTCATAAAAACACTGAAAAACACAGCAGAAGAGACTTTAAAAGCCAAAAAACCAAAAATACCATATATACTCGAGTATAAGCCAACACCTAATTTTACCACAAAAAAACTGAGAAAATGGATTGACTCGAGTATAAGCCGAGGGTGGGAAATGCAGCAGCTACTGGTAAATTGCAAAATAAAAATAGATACCAATTAAATTACATTAATTGAGGAATCAGTAGGTTATATATTTTGAATATTTACAAAAATGGTAATTTAAGATAAGACTGTCCAACTCTGATTAAATGATTATTTACCTTCTTTAATGTAAATGTGCTTACATATCCTTCCAATAATAATAAAGAGAGCAACATAACAAATGTAATAATAACAATAATAATAAAAGAGTAAAATAATGAATGTAGCAATAACTACAATTATACGGTAAAATAATAAATGTATAATAATAGAGTAAAATGATACATGTAATAATAATACATAGAATAAAATAATAAATGAAATAATAATAATAATAATAATAATAATAACAACAACAACAGAGTAAAAGAATAAATAACCTTGACTCAATTATAAGCCGAGGGGGACTTTTTCAGCCTAAAAAATGGGCTGAAAAACTAGGCTTATACTCTATATACAGTACATTGCAACACATGTGCAAAACCACACATATATACGCAAACACACATATATACGCAGAAATATACATACACAAAACATATATACACAGACTGGGCCACAGCAACGCATGGCAGGGGACGGTTAGTTTTATATAAACCCAGATAAACAAAAATCTCAAAAGAAATTCAAAATGGCCATATTTTGAAACATAGATTGCTTTTATGTTCTCAAACCTAACCAAATTTATGAAAGCAACTTCTGCATCTACATACAGTAGCCTGTAAGACCGTAATAGCAAAATTATCACATCCTAAGAAAATAACTACTGTATATACTTGGCCTGCATCAATAGGAGTCTAGTGTCTAGATCCAGGGAAGTCATGCTACCCTTCTATTCTGCCTTGGTTAGACAACATCTGGAATGCTGTGTCCAGAGGAGGGAGATATTGACAAGCTGGAATGTGTCCAGAGGAGGGCAACTAAAATGATCAAGGGTCTGGAGAACAAGCCCTATGAGGAGGGGCTTAAAGAGCTGGGCATGTTTAGCCTGAAGAAGAGAAGGCTGAGAGGAGACATGATAGCCATGTATAAATATGTGAGAGGAAGTCATAGGGAGGAGGGAGCAAGCTTGTTTTCTGCTGCCCTGGAGACTAGGATGCAGAACAATAGCTTCAAACTACAAGAAAGGAGATTCCATCTGAACATTAGAAAGAACTTCCTGATTGTGAGAGCCGTTCAGCTGTGGAACTCTCTGCCCCGGAGTGTGGTGGAGGTTCCTTCTTTGGAAGCTTTTAAACAGAGGCTGGATGGCCATCTGTCAGGGGTGATTTGAATGCAATATTCCTGCTTCTTGGCAGGGGATTGGACTGGATGGCCCATGAGGTCTCGTCCAACTCTATGGTTCTATGAGTATAAGATGACTTGAATATAAGACAAAGCACCTAATTTTACCACACAAAAACCCTGGAAAATGTATTGACTCGAATATAAGCTGAGGGTGGGAAATGTAGCAGCTACCGGTAAATTTAAAAATAAAAATAGATACCAATAAAATTACATTTAATGAAGCACCAGTAGGTTAAATGTTTTTGAATATGTACATAAAACTGTACTTTAAGATAAGACTGTCCAGCTCTGATTAAACCATTATTCTAACTTTCTTCAATGTAAATATGATAGCCATGTATAAATATGTGAGAGGAAGCCACAGGGAGGAGGGAGCAAGCTTGTTTTCTGCTTCCTTGGAGACTAGGACGCGGAACAATGGCTTCAGAGGAGATTCCATCTGAACATGAGGAAGAACTTCCTGACTGTGAGACCGTTCAGCAGTGGAACTCTCTTCCCCAGAGTGTGGTAGGCTCCTTCTTTGGAAGCTTTTAAACAGAGGCTGGATGGCCATCTGTCAGGGGTGATTTGAATGCAATATTCCTGCTTCTTGGCAGAATGGGGTTGGACTGGATGGCCCATGAGGTCTCTTCCAACTCTTTGATTCTATGAGTCTATGATTCTATGAAATGTGCTTACGTATCCTTCCAATAACAACAAAGTAAAATAATAAATGTAATAACAGTATTAGAGTAAAACAATGAAAATGTAATGATAGTAATAATAGAATGAAATAATAAATATAATAATAATAACTACAGATTAAAATAAGAAATAACCTTGACTCAAGTATAAGCCAAGGGAGGCTTTTTCAGCCTCAAAAAACTGCTGAAAAACTCAGCTTATACTTGAGTACATATGGTACGTTGTGTTTGCCACTGAGATAACTCTCTTAATTTAGTCATGATATTCACCTCCTGAGACCAGCCAGCACCACAAACTGTCCTTGAGGACTCCAGAATATCGTGTTGGCCTGCTGCTTGTCAAAGATTTCTGAGGAGGAAAGAAAAAAGACCACGAAGTTATAATTTAACTTCCTTCTTTTTTGGGTAATAAGGTATCTAGCAATAAATCCACACAAACCATTCCTTTAATTCTAAGACACACTTTTTTTCCTATATAAACATCTTTAAAAATTGGTCTGTCTCAGAATGACAGATGTAACTTATCTATTTTTGTTGGCGGTGATGCTACTGAAATAAGGGTGCATCTTAACAACAATAATAAAACTTTATTTATATCCCGCCCCCTCTCCCCAAGGGGACTCGGAGTGGCTTACAGAAGAAAAAGCCAATATAAAAGCAAAGAAACACATGGCAATCAAGAAAATTAAATCAACAAAAGTAAAACATGTCCATCTTACAATCAATGGTATCTTACAATGGAAGAAATACCGTAATTCAAAAGTTCATGCCTGTTGATATTGCTTCTTGCATTTCAAAAACCTGAGGTATCTTGGTCCGACAACTCATTCATATAAGGAGGCTTAGTAACAACATTTGAATGCATTTTTAACTTATGAAAAATAAAAGAATAGGCACTGATTAATGTTTTCATAGCACTATTACAGGTTAATGGGAGGGGGGGATTCAGCTGCCCAGACAATTCCATCTTCAACTGTATCATAATTTTCTTAGCTATTTTGGGGCTTATAATATACTTCAAAAAGTAGATTACAACAAAATCCAATACAACCAACAGCTGAGCTAAAAATATAAGGATCAAAATCTTCAAGGAAAACCAAGTTAGGCCACAGTCTTGATAGCACACCTATGGATAGCACAGCCCTAGATCAGGAGTTTCAATAACTTAATGCCACAATGGAAAGCAACCATCTTCCATTCTCCATTCCCCTATTACTCTAAGTGTAATAGTATGTGACACGTCATATTGAAGCAATGGTAGATATGGTTGCTATGATGAGTGGCTATCCTTCAGATATCCAATTCTAAAGAGTGGATTCCAAAAGTCATTTTGTTGGATTTTGCACAAAAGCTTTTCAAACTCCTTTTGATGGCAACAGCCGAAACTCCACTTACTAATGAGCTCTATCTTCCCATTGTTCTTCACATGGTAGAAAGAACAGGATATCCGTGGCGATTCTCCATGCAGCACAGCAAACTTGCTTCCATTTGGCTCCCAAGCAAAGGCTATGATGCTTTCTGCAAGAAAAAAAAAAAAGACTTTATAAGACTGGTAATGTTAGAATAGCAAAGTGGAAAAAGGAAGATTAGAGATTCTATGAACACCTTTCCAATTTATGGCAAAAAGATCATCCAAACTGTCCTATGAGATTATTTGAAAACAAATAGCATAGGGACTCAAATTAAAACAAGCAGGTCAAGATTTGGCCAGGCACTGCATGGGTGACTACCTGGGAACCTTCTCTTAAACCAGTGTGAGCTCCAGCCTAAGCAGGATATAGATAACAAAGAATTATGGCTTCTGGAGCTAATTATGCCTCTCTCATCTTAAAAAGGATACAGAAATAAACAAATTGAGAATAAGGAAAGCCCCATATTATCATGCAGCATCTACTTAAATGCATCCTTTACCTTTCATTTCCACCACATCAACTGGAACTTGCTTCTCCCTCATACGGAAGATTTCAAAGTTGGTCACTACACCCTGAAAAGAAAATACATGCACATCATTATTCTAAGAATTCAAAGGAAACATGATGAATAGAGTGAAAGTAGCTGGCTTGTAACCATTTACATTTGAGCATTTATCTGCATATATAATCTCACTCATAAATCTTCCCACGCGAAGTAGGTGAATATAACACCGAACGAAGCATGTAGAATGATCACAGGATGCGTCAAACCTAGACCTGTGGGTAGACTCTATAAGCTAGCTGCCACTGCCAATTACAAGAGTTTCTGCCAATTACAAGAGAAATAAGGTTGAACACTATGAAAGCCAGCTGCATGGCTACTACAACGCTCCTCCCAGTAGACTGAAATCAATGAAAAGCCTCATAAGAACCACCACTCCTCTAAATGTTCCTCCATTAACAGCAAAATTAAGCAATTCCAACTGGGTCACCCCCGCCCCCAAAGGTCTTCCTCCAGAGGCAAACCAAGATTGGGAAAATGTGGAAGTCCTTGAACAGACTCAGAAGTGAAGTGGGCAGATCAAAAGACAACCTGGCAGAATGGAACTACCTAGAAGAGCCCTCTACCTTGTGCAACTGTAGAGCAGAACAAACAACTCCGCACCTGTATGTTTGCCCACCATGCCCTGCCTCATGCACAGAGGAAGAACTGTTTAAAGCTACAGTCAACGAGTCGCTGTTTTTAGTCTAAAACTATTTCGCTGCTTGCGCTCCTTCTATTTTTATCAGTTATTTGCAATGCTTTTGGCATGAAATAAAAAAATCTCAATCCAAAGAGGAGTAAGCATTATGAGATCTATAGTAGGTTTTTGATCCGCACATCTGACTTTTCCTGATAAAAAACAGACTTGTATATTTTAAAAATCCCAGTAAGTATAGCTTTCTGCTAATTATCATTCCCCATGCCCTCAAAAAGCCCCAAATGCTAAAAAGGAAAAACTAGAATTTTAGTTCATTTTTGCAAAGGACTGAAAATGAGAAAAGCAGAGCCCTCAGACATCCACAATTTCTAATTTCTACCCTAGAAAAAGATGGGCTCGTATTGCTTATTTACTACAGCGAGAATGAGAATTATGCACCAGACATCAAAACTACAGCGCTCTTCTTGGAGGCGGTAACTACCTGCAAATGCTAAGCTAGAACAAGACTGGCAAACATCCAACATAGAAAGAACATGCCTGTATCATCATTGGTTTTGACAATAATAAAAATCAAAAACTTTTCAGAGTATCAATTAGTTTCATAGATAAGCAAAAGAGCTTTGTACCTGTGTCCCTTTAGGGGTTCTGTCGACCTTTACGCATAGATAATCCCCATTCTTTTGCCAGTGCAGCTTGCAGTCCACCACATTGAACAGGTTCCGCACTCTCATCTCTTGTCGGGAAGGTAGTTGCATCAGGGTCACCCTTGCGGGGATATCTTTGTCTTCAGGCACCCAAAAGGCAATTATGTTGCCACCAGGAGACCAGGAAAAATCTCTGACGGACAAAAAGCAGGAATTAAAAACTACGACATCACTGCATCTTTACACATTTATTTTCAAAAGAGTGTAAAGTCTAATTTTCCCAGACTTCAGTAAAGGGGGAAAAAATCCATTTCTAACCTAGAAGAATGGAAATCAGGCACGTCAATTGGGAATTAAAAAGGAAAGGAAGGATACTTACTTGATCCCTTGGATTTTCAAACTTTTCTTGTCCAACAGACCCATAGACTGCAAGAGAAGACATCCACAAAGTTATTTTTGCAAACCCATACTCCGCTCAGATAAAACCCTCATGGCATGTGAGGTTTAGCATTGATTAGTTATGAGTGTTTCCATTCTAATTCCTAAGCAAATATTTAACTTTAAGCATATAATACTTCACAACATCAGTTATGTCACAATTGGGGAGGGAAGGAAATAACTAACTTACAGGTGTTTCATAGATGCTAAGTGTATCAGATGTCATTCGAGCAAAGAATTTTCCATCATGACTCCACCTAAAAAGAAAGAATTTCAAGAAAACTGATTTAGTTTTCTTTGACAACTGTATATATATACACCGTATATACTCGTGTATAAGCCGACCCGAATATAAGCCGTTGTATCTAATTTTATCACCAAAACCTGGGAAAACGTATTGACTAGAGTATAAGCCGAGGGTGGGAAATGCATCCACTATGGGTCAATTTCAAAATAAAAATAGATACCAATAAAATTACATTGATTGAGGCACCAATAGAATCATAGAATCAAAGAGTTGGAAGAGACCTCATGGGCCATCCAGTCCAACCCCTGCCAAGAAGCAGGAATATTGCATTCAAATCACCCCTGACAGAGGGCCATCCAGCCTCTGCTTAAAAGCTTCCAAAGAAGGAGCCTCCACCACACTCTGGGAGAGAGTTCCACTGCTGAACGGCTCTCACAGTCAGGAAGTTCTTCCTCATGTTCAGATGGAATCTCCTCTCTTGTAGTTTGAAGCCATTGTTCCATTGCGTCCTAGTCTACAGGGAAGCAGAAAACAAGCTTGCTCCCTCCTCCCTGTGGCTTCCTCTCACATATTTATACATGGCTATCATATCTCCTCTCAGCCTTCTCTTCTTCAGGCTAAACATGCCCAGCTCCTTAAGCCGCTCCTCATAGGGCTTGTTCTCCAGACCCTTGATCATTTTAGTCGCCCTCCTCTGGACACATTCCAGCTTAGTCAATATCTCTCTTGAATTGTGGGGCTCTCCTCTGGACACATGTCAATATCTCTCTTGAATTGTGGTGCCCAGAATTGGACACAATATTCCAGATGGGGTCTAACCAAAGCAGAATAGAGGGGTAGCATTACTTCCTTAGATCTAGACACTATGCTCCTATTGATGCAGGCCAAAATCCCATTGGCTTTTTTTGCCGCCACATCACATTGTTGGTTCATGTTTAACTTGTTGTCCACGAGGACTCCAAGATCTTTTTCACACGTACTGCTCTCGAGCCAGGCGCCCATTCTGTATCTTTGCATTTCATTTTTTCTGCCAAAGTGGAGTATCTTGCATTTGTCACTGTTGAACTTCATTTTGTTAGTTTTGGCCCATCTCTCTAATCTGTCAAGATCGTTTTGAATTCTGCTCCTGTCCTCTGGACTTTTGGCTATCCCTCCCAATAGGCTAAATGTTTTTGAATATTTACATAAAACTGTAATTTAAGGTAAGACTGTCCAACTCTTATTAAACCATTATGCTAACCTACTTCAATGTAAATGTACTTATTATTAAAATAATATAAAAAACATAATAGAGTGAAATAATGAAAATGCAATAAAAACAGTAATAATAGAGTAAAATAATAAATGTAGTAATAGTAGAGTAAAATACTGTAAATGTAATAATAATAATAATAATAGGGTAAAATACTGTAAATGTAATAATAATAATAATAGAGCAAAATAATAAATAGAATAATAGAGCAAAATAATGTAAATATAATAATAATAGAGTAAAATAATAAATGTAATAAAATAATACTAATAACAGAGTAAAAGAATAAATAACCTTGACTCAAATATAAGCTGAGGGGAGCGTTTTCAGCCTAAAAAGGGAGCTGAAAAACTAGGCTTATACTCGAGTATATACAGTATATCTAAGTTTATTCTTTTGCGGGCCAGGGAGGGGGGTTGCCTATATAACATACTTAAAAATGGGCCAATGTGCTGAGCTTTCGCAGTGGAATCCTCGTTTCTTCTGTCCAGTTAAGGTATCCCAGATAATGATCGCTTGAGGGTCATCTTGCGTGTCCATTAGAGGACTGAAGGTCACTAGATACCTTCACACAGAGGAGAAAAAAAGATGCTTTATAGCAACATATAAATTGCAATCACCTCTCCAAATATATATATGCATTTATTTACTATATTTGCGCCCCACCCTTTTCAATCCCTAGGGGGACTCATAGCAGCTTTACATATCGGCAACAATTCAATGCCTTAAAAACATACAATTAGTACAAACATCTACATTAAAAACAGTGAATTAAAACACATAAAAACAGTTACATCAATTATTAAAATCACATAATACAATGTCGTAGTCCAGGGCCATTCCAAAATGTCATTGCACAGATTCTATGTGCACTTATTGCACTGCAGTTATCTCCAAAAGCTTGGTCCCGCAGCTATGTTTTAACTTTATTATTGAAGGCTAAAAGGGAAGGAGCTGACTGAATATCACTGGGGAGGGAATTCCATAGCCAAGGGGCCACCACTGAGATGGTGCTGTCTCTCATCCCCACCAACTGTGCCTCCAAAGGAGGTGGGACCGAGAACAGGGACTCTCCAGAAGATCTTAATCTCCGTGATAGAGGGAGATATGTTCGGACAGGTAAGCTGGGCTGGAACTGTTTAGGGCAGGGGTCCTCAAACTAAGGCCAGAGGGCCAGATACGGCCCTCTGAGGTCATTTATCTGGCCCTCGCTCAGGGTCAACTTAAGTCAACGTAAGTCTAAAACTACTTGAAAGCATACAACAAAAACAACAAACCTATCTCATCAGTCAAAAGCAGGCCCACACCTCCCTTTGAAATACTAATAAGTTTATATTTGTTAAAATTGTTCTTCATTTTAATTATTGTATTGCTTTTAAGGTTTTTTGCATTACAAATAAGATATGTGCAAATTATAATCCAACCCTCCAACAGTTTGAGAGACTGTGATCTGGTCCTCCCTTTAAAAAGTTTGAGGGCCCCTGGTTTAGGGTTTTATAGGCTAAAGCCACACTTTAAATTGTGCTCGGTAGCAGATGGGCAGCCACGGAGCTGACACAACAGAGGTAGGGGGTGGTATGCTCCCTGTATGCTGCTCAGATGAGAAATCAGGCTGCTGCCCATTAGACCACTTGGAGCTTCCGAACAGTCCAAATGTAGAGAGCACTGCAGTAGTCTATTCGGGATGTAACCAGAGGGTGGACTGTAGTGGCCAAATCTGACTTCCCAAGGTAGGGGCACAACTGTCACACAAGTTTTAATTGTGCAAATGCTCCCCTGGACACTGCCGAGACCTGGGGTTCCAAGCTGAAATATACAGTTTGTCTCCTTTAAAACCAAGTATAAAGCAAGTCTGACAAGTGCAGAGTCTGGTTCTGGTTTATAACATTGAACAATACAAGCATATCTTTTGTCAGGAATCGTGTTTTATCAAAAGACATATTTTCTGCTTTTCCATGATTGTGAGGCTGTAGGATACTAATGTTTGCAGGAGGTTGTGTCTAACAGCCAAGTGACTATTCTTGCTGTCAGCATGACTCAGGAAAAGACAAGCATCCCATTCAGGCCCGGTTCAATTGGCCAAGTCAGAAAATTTAAATTAAAACCACACTGGTCAGTTTTCAACAGAGCTATTTACAACTGCTTGGGCAGCAGTCCAAACTATCAGCTTCACACTGCGCCCTGCAAAGTATGCAATACAAATAAACAGGCCATGGAGGACACCGGGATGACAGAATGGCATAGCCTAGAAAAACATGATCCTGTCAGAATATGTTAAAGTATGTAATGTGTTTTAAATGTAATTTCATGTAGTTGTAATATGATGCCACAAGATTGTATTGCTGTGATGTTTGAGGCTGTGAGATAGTAGCTCTGAGATACTCTCTGAACTGAGTTGTGAGAGAAATTAGGGAATATCTGATATCTGCCAAGCAGCCAAGCAGCTGCAGAATTGTTTACACTTTCGCTTCCTTTGCTGTGCCTACTGTGTACTTCATGTTTTGTCGCTTACTGGAATGGATGTATTTTGAACTGCTCGAAGTAAATTGAACCTGCTTTGTAACCAGAAGTCTCCAGAGTCCGTGATTTTTACCAAGCCTGTGCAAAACTTCCGCTAAACGCGAACAGATCCACCTTGTCACGTCACCTCTCTTTCAAATGTTGTAGAACTACAACTCCCACCATCCTTCAACAACAGTTGGGCTGGCACATTGCCTATCCCTGTATCAGGATTCCTATATGAATAATATGCTCTGTTTTGACACCCAAACATTTCATATTCTACAGAACCTTTCTGGACACTTTGTCAGTGTAATGGTCAATTCCTGAACTACTGAACATTCAACTCAAAACAACTGAATAAAGCTTGAAGAAAGATTTTTAAGTCAGATTACATTTGTCACTTAACTCACCAACACGATTATATCTGTGATATTATCTAACAATTGTGAATGATCACAATGATGGTAATTATCCCTTTCTGCTTCCAGGTCCTGCTGCCCTCATTTTTTACCACTGACAAATCCCAAGTTGAGATTAATGCTTTACACATATAACAAACTGGAGAGTGTTCCTAAAGTTGGTGCAACAGTAACATTTTTTTCTGGTTCCTTCAAATGCAACAGGATCCTTGTTTAAGAGTACCTTTCACAAGGCGAGAAGTCAATGAGCTGTACTCCCTGATGGCCGAACTTCTGAATTTGTTTGAATTTCTCTCCACCCCAGAGTGCAATGCCTCTCTGATGGAATGTAGCCAGATAGGTGCCCTTTGGAGACCAGCGTACATAAGTTTCTGTCCATCGCTGTGGGGAACAAAATATGCAGCATGCATTTTCTATCTTGCTTAAAAATAGATGTACAAAATATTATTTGGAAAATGATACATAGATCCCAGATCCCCAAAAAGATGTTTAAAGTGAAAGGAAAGCAATACTGAGCTCAAAATGAGGCAAGAGTTAGAAGTTATGGGTTTCAATTCATACTCTAGCCCTGAATGAGTTGACTTCATCAAATTAGGCACACTGCAAGCTAAAATTTATTTATTTATTTACCATACTTTTATCCCACCCTTTTCAGCCCAAAGGCGACTCAGGGCGGTGTACAGACTGGGAACAATTAGATGCCGAATACACATAACTACATAGTTTAAAACAGGTTAAATCACATAAAATTCATAAAAAACCAATTTACAACTATTAAAATCAATGACTTCTGGGTTTAAATCCATGTCCATTTGTCTCGTTAAGCCGTTCCATATTCGTTTACAATACTGAGTTTATCTGGTTACCATGAGGTTCCAAAAGGTTACTCGAAGAGCCAGGTTTTTACTCATTTCCTAAAGGTCGGGGGGGGGGGGCCATCTAATATCCCCAGGAAGGGATTCCACAGCTGAGGGGCCACCACTGAGAAGGCTCTGTCCCTCATCCCCGCCAGGCGTGCCTGTGAGGCAGATGGGATCGAGAGCAGGGCCTCCCCAGATGATCTTAAATTCCTGGAAGGTTCGTAAAACAACTATAACCTTCTTTCTCTCATACACACATATTGCATGCCAATAGATGGGAAGGCAGAATATCTCAAATTAAAAATACTATTTGCTAGAGAATGATAATCTACATCAGTGCTTCTCAACCTTGGGTCCCCAGATGTTTTTGGCCTACAACTCCCAGAAATCCCAGCCAGTTTATTACCAGCTGTTAGGATTTCTGGGAATTGTAGGCCAAAAACATCTGGGGACCCCAGGTTGAGAACCACTGATCTACATATTATATCTTTCCTTTAATCTTCAAGAAGCTAATTCCTTGACTTAAGTAAGCAAACAAGGCCTGATGTCAATCCCCGTATCAATTTATTCAAAAATCATTTTATTCCACTTTGTATTTTGAAGATATGAATCTTGAGAACATGAGACTCTCTCACTGGCAGAACCAACTAGCTGATGCCATGGATTAATGCACTCTCAACTTCCTGTTTCCTGAATCATACACCCACCTACTGAATATTCAGCCTCATGACCAATTTGATTTTCTCGTATTCACAGCTACAAAACAAACTTTGCAGAGAAACCTCCAAGAGACACTTACAGTTCGCTCCTCAATTGTGACAGGATCTTTGACATCATTCCAGTATATAGTAGTCCTATCTCCAGATTCAAAGATCACACTGTACTGATCTCTACAATCTGGATCCTCCAACCAGTAGCGCAAATTCCCCTGCAAAGAAGAAAAAAATTTAAAATGTGCTGTACTGTAACACTCTCTTTTTTTTTCATATTATATGACTATCTGGCTATAGAAAAAGAAACAAATTAATCATTTCAAACACTCCACATTAATCACATTAATCATAAAATATTAGGTCTTCAGATAGTTCTAAGAAGGAAATCAAGGAATGCTTTTTCTTTACACAACTCCAAACTTTTCATTTGTTCTGCTGATAATAAGCATAGTGGTTTAAGATTAAACTTTACAAACCAACGTATTTTCTGACACTTACCAAGTCTTTAAATGGCTGCTTTTCTGGAATTTCCCACTCATCACTGATTGTCATATATCTGAAAAAGTGATTAAATCCATATATATATATAATATCTATGTGTATATTATTGTTATTATTATCATCATGTATTTATATTTATCCCGCTTCTCTCCTATGTGTGGGATTCAAAGCGGCATGTACTTTATATACACAAGTATAAGCCAACCCGAATATAAGCCGAGGCACCTAATTTTACAACAAAAAACTGGGAAAACGGATTGACTCGAGTATAAGCTGAGGGTGGGAAATGCAGCAGCTTTGGGTAAATTCCAAAATAAAAATAGATACCAATAAAATTGCATTAATTGAGGCATCGGTAGGTTAAATGTTTTTAAATAAATAAGATAAGATTGTCCTCTGATTAAAGCATTATTCTAACCTTCTTCCGTGTAAACGTGTTTACATATCCTTTCAATAATAATAGAGTAAAATAATAAATGTAATAATAACAATAATAAAGAATAAAATGATAAATGTAATAATAGTAAAGTAAAATGATAAATGTAATAATAATAATAGAATAAAATAATAAAAAACCTTGACTCGAGTATAAGCCGAGGGAGACTTTTTCAGCCTAAAAAAAGGACTGAAAAAATAGGCTTATACTCAAGTATATACAGTATTTACAAAACTCAGCCTTGCATCTCTAAGGAAGAATGTATCCAAAACTGCACCTACTTGTCAAAGTCAGTGAAAAGGTTCACTCTGAAAGTGTGCTGCTTGTCCAGCTTGTAGCCATCTGCATTTTTAACAGCATCCAAGGCATGGGTTGGAGACATGTATTCCAAGAAGATATACCTGCAAATATGTAAGTAAAACTGACTTAATGCTGGCTAGCAACTTTGAAATCATAGTGCACTTATGAATCCAAAATACTCTGGATTCAAGCAAAAATTAGCAATAACATCAGTACTTCAACTCGAGACAATGTAATACCAATCCTTTCTTGCTGTCAATAACAGCTTCCAGCTTTGTATAAATAAGCAAATGACATACAATCTTGAGCAACAGCTAGGATGGCATTCAACTCTTAGCAAGACCCTTCCCTTCACATACAGCAAACATTCTTTCAAGGGCAGGAACATTGGTTCATTCTGAACTGTGTCCCAAAAAAACCCCACTAAGAAGCAAACCTGAGATCCTGAGATACCACACGCTTGCCACACACATTTCACCTGGGCGAGAAACTAAGATTCAAAAACGAACTGAACAGGGTAGGATAAAAATGGAAGGTCTGTTTAAGACCAACAGAATTAACAGCAGAAATTTTAACCGGAATTTGACAGCTTGACATGAGAGAAGATAACTTACTAGCCATACTAGCCATGTGACAACAACCTCCAGGCTATTTTCAAGACCCGAAAATCAGAATTTTTAATCAATATTTTTTATTGATCAGCTCTGCTATTCTTCATACTAGTATAACACTTTAAAAATGAATTGGCAAACAATATGAAATGTATGATAACTGTGTACTTATGGCACAACTTGTATGGGTTCTATAATTAATTCTATAAAAAACTCAATACATAACTATTAAAATGAAATTTCAGCCCTGTTTGTGAAGGTATAGTTTCACTAACAGACACCCGTGCTCCAAGTATCATGGCATGACAAGATACCAACATTCATCCCAACTTTGAAGCTACAGAGATGTGCATAAATCATGTGCCTGACAATCCCTGATCCAAGCAAAGATCTCAGATTGAGGCCTCTTTAACTTTTTGGGATTGTAGCTTTATGTGGACCTCACCTCTGAGTCTCCAAGGAGCACAACACCCATCTACCTATTTAGAAATTGCAGGATCACACTCATGCCCTCACCCTTTAGTCTGTCCATCAGCTTCGGGGTAGAATTCATTGGTAATTTTACCAAACTTTGAGAAAATCTTATGGATAACATTCTTCAGTTTCTCAAGACGGTCTGGTCCAACCTGAGGAACATTGTCCACGACAATCACTGAATCAATTCCATCTGCCTCCTGTGGACGTTCTTGCAGAATATCTCCAAGTAATTCTGTGGAAGGTAAGATAAGGGGAAAATTGGCATTCAGAGTCTATGGAGGAAAGGAATAGCCAAGTCCACAACTATATTTAAAATCTTATGAGGTCATCCTATGTTTTCAGAGACTCTTTGTCACTGGAGTACACGCCCCCCGCCCCCCCATGGGAAAGTTTGGTTCCACAACCTTGTGTTTTTTATGAGCTCCCTCTTGCAAATAACTTGCTCCCTTTCTTATCTCATTTGGGTTTTTATCCTGCACATGTGGCCCGCCCACTGTTTTGGTTTCATTTTACTGTAATATGTTGTCTGGGCTTGGCCTCATGTAAGCCGCCCCAAGTCCCCGTTGGGGAGATGGTGGCGGGGTATAAATAAAGTTTATTATTTATTATTATTTGTCAGGGTGGGGAATATGCCACCCTCCATAGATCCATCAGCTTCCGACAGTATATCCACCTACAAACGTAATGAAAGTTGCAAAGGAATCACATGTGGAGAGGTACATGCTCCCCACCCCTTTTCTGTGTCAAATGCTTCGAGGAGCACTGTAGCGTCATTATAATTAACAGGAAAACTATACTCAAAGTCTTTAATCAGAGCAACTGAACAAGTTTTCCTAGCTTCCCAAGAGTCATTTAATCCTATCCAGAAGCAAATCAAGATGAAACCATGGCACTGTTGCCTTTCACTAAATGTATCTGTCTCTTCCACAAAATGAACTGACAGAACCAATGGTACTACATTACTATAATTCTTGCAAAACTATCAATATTTGTATACTTCAAGTTCTACACAAAGTTCAAATTAAATCACAATCTGTAAATGCAAATAAAGAATTATACACTGAGCTAAGTTGGTTGCATGATACTTCTAAACAAGATTATTGTTCTCCATAATGCTATTCACAGTATGGCAACACAATGCTTTTGTTATACGTTGTAAAAGAATTGCAGGAAGATGGAAGCTTCTTCTAGTTTATGTATTTAGACTGATCCCAGCCACTATTATAACTGCTCTGAGAGAAGTTTGCCATTCTGATGAACTCAACCCATGAAATTCAGAAATAAAACAAGACATGCTTGTTTTGTATGTGTTCCTGTCAGGATAACTGGAGGTCTTTTGTTTTCTACTGTGCTTAGAATAACTCAGAATTGTGCAGCTAAGAAAGCGTCAAACTCTGCTTTAGGCCACTTGGATCCTGGTCTTATCACAGCTACAGCTATTCCATGGAGGGAGAAATTCTTGCTTGTATCAACACATCCCCTCTGCCATATTATCTGGGTACACAGACCCATCTAAGCACATGGGTTCCACTAAGAAACAAACATAAAACTTTATTTTTGCTCCCCTGAAATACAAACCCCAACACATTGATATTTAATATCCTTTGTCAAGTAAAAATGTCAAGTTACCTTTGCAAAGACAAACACACTGACACTAAAACAAATCTGCTATATGTCAAAAGAAGCAAATATAAAATATGCCACAAGTTCCCAAAACTTAGATTGGAGTCCTAAGCAGTAATTTCCATGGAAATACATGTAAGGACCAAGCAATAGATATACATTAGTAGGCAAAATAGAGACCTCAAAATGTCTCTGAACTGCAATTTCCAGGATGCTTAGCTATAAGAACTGCCAAGAACTGCTGTCCAACGATTGGAGAGCTGCATTTTACCCTCTTGACAACATGTAATATAAGGTGGAGTAGTGTTTTAGTGTGGAAAGTGGTACATTGATTGAGGTAAGTGGTTAAAAGAAGCAATTGTGTTGTTCATTTGTTCAGTCGTCTCCGACTCTTTGTGACCTCATGGACCAGTGCACGCCAGAGATCCCTGTCAGCCGTCACCACCCCCAGCTCCTTCAAGGTCAGTCCAGTCACTTCAAGAAGGCCATCCATCTTGCCCTTGGTCGGCCCCTCTTCCTTTTTCCTTCCACTTTCCCCAGCATAATTGTCTTCTCTAGGCTTTGCTGTCTCCTCATGATGTGGCCAAAGTACTTCAACTTTGTCTCTAGTATCCTTCCTCCAATGAGCAGTCGGGCTTTATTTCCTGGAGGATGGACTGGTTGGATCTTCTCGCAGTCCAAGGCACTCTCAGCACTTTCCTCCAACACCACAGCTCAAAAGCATCTCTCTTCCTTCGCTCAGCCTTCCCTAAGGTCCAGCTCTCACATCCATAGGTGACTACAGGGAATACCATGGCTTTGACTAGGCAATGGATCTTTGTTGCCAGTCTGATGTCTCTACTCTTTACTATTTTATCGAGACTGGACATTGCTCTCCTCCCAAGAAGTAAGCGTCTTCTGATTTCCTGGCCACAGTCTGCATCTGCGGTAATCTTTGCACCTAGAAATACAAAGTCTGCACGGCCTCCACGTTTTCTCCCTCTATTTTCCAGTTGTCAATCATTCTTGTTGCCATAATCTTGGGTTTTTTTATGTTTAGCTGAAACCCAGCTTTTGCGCTTTCTTCTTTCACCTTGATTAGAAGGCTAAAAGAAGCAATTATGCTTGGTAATAACTTTTGTGTACCTAGACTCAAGGCTATCACCAAGTAGAATTCTCTGATAAAAAGTGATCAATTAAAAGCTATTTAATCCATATTGGTTAACTATTCTTTGATCCACATTGCCCCCACTACTGACTAGCATATTTCATAGTTTCTGTAAAAAGGCTATTTTATATAGAATTGCCAGGAACAAAGTATGTCTCTGTACAACCAGCTGCTGAAGAATCAAATACCAAAGATTCAGCCGCATTAATTCAGACAGTGTAACGACATCTCCACGTTGAGGAGCAATATATACCAAGAGAAGCAATATATACCAACCAGGTGCTGGGTGACCTGCCTCAAAGCTAACCTTAACTCTAACCTGACCATTTCTGGGCTCACGATTCTGGGCTAAACGAACCCTTTGGATCTTTTTCAGCCATGCGCTTACGTTATCATATCCCACCAACGACATATACACTAATACAGTGAAGACATCTGCCCTTGCGCTGTGCTACTCTGCTGCTGAGTATGCATGCCCAGTGTGGAACACGTCTCACCATACTAAAACAGTGGATGTGGCTCTTAATGAGACATGCCGCATTATCACGGGGTGTCTGCTACACCACTGGAGAAATTACACTGCTTAGCCGGTATTGCACCACCTGACATCCGCCGGGAAGTAGCAGCCAATAGTGAAAGGACCAAGGCAGAGACATCTCCAGATCATCCTCTGTTTGGATATCAGCCAACACGCCAACGACTTAAATCTAGACATAGTTTTCTAAGATCTACAGAGACACTCGCCGGAACACCTCAGCAAGCGAGAGTCCAAAAGTGGCAGGCTCAAACCCAGCACTTCAACCAATGGCTGATACCAAATGAGAGACTCCCTCCTGGGCACACAGAAGACTGGGCGACTTGGAAGGCATTGAACAGACTGCGCTCTGGCACCACGAGATGCAGAGCCAACCTTAAGAAATGGGGCTACAAAGTGGAATCCACGACATGCGAGTGTGGAGAAGAGCAAACCACTGACCACCTGCTGCAATGCAACCTGAGCCCTGCCACATGCACAATGGAGGACCTTCTTGCAGCAACACCAGAAGCACTCCAAGTGGCCAGATACTGGTCAAAGGACATTTAACCAGCTACCAAACTCACAAGTTGTGTATTTTTCTGTTTGTTTGCTTTGTTCTGTTAGAAATGTAATATAATGGACTGGCTGCTCTGACACGACAAATAAATAAATCTCTAATACAATAAGGGAGTTAACCTGGCATGATGTGAGTTGTAGTTCACCCACAACCTTATGCATTTGTAAAATAATAAAAGTCTTCTTCTAAATAACCTGGGCAACACTTGATACCCAAGATAATAATAATAATAATAAGTCATAATAATAGCCACCTTCCTCATCGATGTCGTCCACAAAGTCCTCAGGGTCGCTGAAAGAGATGTCGTCCTCCTCCTCCTCTTCTTCCTCCTCCTCGTCCTCTGGTTCCCTCTCTGAGGGAGGCGCCTCCTCGCCTTCGCCTGCCTTCTCCTCCTTCGGTTCTGGAGGCTGCTTCTCCTCGACGGTAGCGATGGGCTGCTCCTCCTTCTCCTCCTTTTCCTTTTCCTCCTCCTCTTTGGCTTCCTCTCCTAGAGATGTCTCTTCCTCAGAAGCTTCCTTTTCCTCCTCCTCCTCCTCCTTCCCTTCAGGGCAGAGGGGTTTCTCCTCCTCAGCGGTGGGGAGAGCGGACTGAGGCAGGGGCGAGGCCGGCTTCTCCTGCTCTCCCTCCTCGCCGTCCTCCTTCACCTCCTCGTCGTGGTCCCGCAAGGCCTCAGCCTCGGCCTTGCCCGCCTCAGGCTCCTCCGAAGCACTAGGCCCGCCCGGCTTCTTCTTCCCAGCCTCTTCGGAGCCCTCCTCCGCTTCCTCTGCTTCCGCCCCGTCGGGAACGGCGGGCGCCAGGCTCTCCTCGGTCTCCTGCATGGGAACAAACCGGCGTCGCGGCCTTCCCCGCTCGCCTCACGCACCGAAGGGGAGTCACTCCAGCCGCCCGCCGCTCCAGAAAGGGGGAAGGGAACCGCGCATGCGCGCGCATGCGTACACCGAGCGGGGAGTCGCCTCCTTGCCGGGCCATGTGCGCGAGACCTATCTTTACTTCTCGCGAGGCTTGGCCCGGGCCAAACCATCTTTTCCAAGAGAGGGGGAAAAATCTCTAAGAATGGCGGATAATATTTATTTTTTTTTCGTCTCCCGTATAAAACGAAATATTATTAATAATGGGTTCTGTGTCTGTAACTATCCGACTTTTTCCTCCGCACAAACAAGGCGACGTTCTTAGTCGCACGCAGATGACCCCCCTTCTGCAAAATGGTTAAATCCAAGATGGCGTTCAATGGGTAGCTTTGAAAGCAGCGCTGATGGACGAGTCCACTGTATAGGTCTGCGGGGGGGGGCGCTGTTGGACCATTCCATTGCATAGCTTACCTATTACATTACATTACATTATAATAGATAGATAGATAGATAGATAGATAGATAGATAGATAGATAGATAAGATAGATAGATAGATAGATAGATAGATAGATAGATAGATAGATAGATAGATAGATAGATAGGATAGATAGATGAGCCCCCCCTTCCGCATAATGGTTAAATCCAAGATGGCGTTCAATGGGTAGCTTTGAAAGCAGCGCCTTAGGAGGGGCGCTGATGGACGAGTCCACTGTATAGGCCTGGGGGGGGGGGACGCTGTTGGACCATTCCATTGCATAGCTTACCTATTAGATTAGATTATGATAGATAGATAGATAGATAGATAGATAGATAGATAGATAGATAGATAGATAGATAGATAGATAGATAGATAGATAGATAGATAGATAGATAGATAGATAGATAGATAGATAGGGAGGATCCTGGACTCATCGCTGAGCCTGGAACCCCAGGTCTCAGCGGTGGCCGGGAGAGCTTTTGCGCAATTAAAACTTGTGCACCAGTTGCGCCCGTACCTCCGGAAGTCTGATCTGGCCACAGTGGTCCACGCTCTTGTTACATCCCGTATAGACTACTGCAACGCACTCTACGTGGGGTTGCCCTTGAAGACTGTTCGGAAACTTCAACTGGTCCAACGAGCGGCAGCCAGACTGCTCACCGGAGCGACATACAGGGAACACACAACTCCCTTGTTGTGTCAGCTCCACTGGCTGCCAATCCAGTTCCGAGCACAATTCAAGGTGCTGGTTTTGACCTACAAAACCCTTTACGGTTCTGGTCCAGCGTATCTGTCCGAACGTATCTCCCTCTACGTCCCACCCCGGAATTTGAGATCATCTGGGGAGGCCCTGCTCTCGACCCCACCACTATCACAAGTGAGGCTGGTGGGGACGAGGAGCAGGGCCTTCTCAGTGGTGGCCCCCCACCTGTGGAACTCACTCCCGGGGGAAATCAGGACATCAACATCCCTCCTTGCCTTTAGGAGAAAGGTAAAGACGTGGCTATGGGACCAGGCCTTTGGGCATCCTGACAATTAGATATGGAATCCAGATGGATAGGACTGACAATGTGCGGAAAGTAGAACCTAACTATGAGTCTGTTAAACGCTGTCCAGCAATGAGGTTTGTATTGCTTTTATTGGTTTAATTGTTTTAATTGCTTTTACGGTTTTTTTGGATGTTTTGCCGATAATAATGATTGCTTATGTTAATTGTTATCATTGCTATAATTGCTGATGATGGACGAGTCCACTGTATAGGCCTGCGGGGGGGACGCTGTTGGACCATTCCATTGCACAGCTTACCCATTACATTACATTACATATAGATAGATAGATAGATAGATAGATAGATAGATAGATAGATAGATAGATAGATAATTTCAGCAATAATGATTTTTTTTTAGGTAGGTCTGCTTTAAGGACAATAATAGTGGCAAAGGGAGAAACCACTGGCTCCCCTCCAATGAGCACAATGGTATGGTCCCTTAGGATGACGCACCAGTAACGTGGCCTGTACCAATTCTGACAAAGGGGGCGTGTTTGTAAGACTGCCTCTTTTGACACATTAAAGTGCCCAACGCTGGCCTTGGCAGTCCCATCTTCAAAGTAAAATTAAATACGGTATGATAACAGTTAGGTTATACGTTTTTGGAGAAAAGAAAATACAGTCGTGTATGCCACTGTGAAGTGGTTTGATCCAAGAAGGAAAAGCCACATCAGCTGTGTGATGTTCACATGATTTTGAGAAACCCTCCAGATGTAGAGAAGTAGTAATTACAGAGTGGTGACATTTGATCACTCTTATCTGTTTTACTATACAGGTAAAGTAGGATTTGATTGGGATGAAGCAACATGAACAATGCAAGATATGCAGATGATACCGTACAACTAGCAGACAATTGGAAAGACTTGAGACAATAACTGAAGAAAATCAAGGAAGATTTACAATGTATATAATGTATATGCTATTATATCTTTGTTCATATATTATTTAGTGTAACTAGATTATAGTGTATTATTGTTGTATTGATTTCCTGTTTTGCCCTTTTGTAAACTGTTTTTATATGTTGTGCACCGCCGCGAGTCGCCCTAGGGCTGAGAGCGGCGGTCAATAAATGCAGTAAATAAATAAATAAATAAATAAATATATTTATAATGTAATCTAAATAAATAAAAATGTAATGTTTATTTATTTATTTATTTATTTACTCCATTTGTATACCGCATTTATCAGCCTGAGACGGCGACTCAATGCGGTTTACAATAAAAATGGGCAACACTGACAGTATATAAGACACACATACACAAACGACACACACATAGTCATCAACGCCTCAATTAGAATCAGATCCCGTTCTCACAGTCCTTTTTCGTTCCTTGTTCAAAATGCCGTCTTACTGAGTTAGTTGTCATTGCATAGTTATCCAACGCCTGTTCATAGAGCCACGTCTTAACCCTCCTCCGAAACACCAGCAACGAAGGGGCCTGCCTGATGTCCACTGGTAGGGCATTCCATAGCCGAGGGGCCACCACCGAGAAGGCCCTGTCTCTCGTCCCCGCCAACCGCGCTTGTGACGCTGGCGGGACCGAGAGCAGGGCCTCCCCGGACGATCTTAACGTCCTCGCCGGTTCATAGGTGGAGATGCGTTCGGAGAGGTAAGTGGGGCCGGAACCGTGTAGGGCTTTATAGGCTAAAGCCAGCACCTTGAATTGTGCCCGGTAGCAAATTGGCAGCCAGTGGAGCTGGCTCAGCAAGGGGGTGGTGTGCTCCCTGAGTGCCGCTCCCGTTAGCAACCTGGCTGCCGAGCGCTGGACCATCTGAAGCTTCCAGGCAGTCTTCAAGGGCAACCCCACGTAGAGCGCGTTGCAGTAATCTATACGGGATGTGACGAGAGCGTGGACTACCGTGGCCAAGTCCGACTTCCCAAGATACGGGCGCAGCTGGCGCACGAGCCGAAGCTGTACAAATGCTCCTCTGGAAACCGCTGAAACTTGGGGTTCCAAGCTTAGCGAAGAATCCAGAGTCACACCCAAGCTGCGAACCTGCGTCTTCAGGGGGAGTGCGACCCTGTAACCCTGTGTTCATTTATAGGAGCAACCACTGGACGAATTACCGCCAGATTATCTGTTTTGCTATACAGGTAAAATAGGATTTGATTGGGATGAAGCAACATCAACAATGCAAGATATGCAGATGATACTGTACAACTGGCAGATAATAGCAAAGATTTGGGACAATAATTGCAGAACATCAAGGAAAATTTGCAATTTATATAATGTATATAATATTATATCTTTGTTTATATACATATACATATATATATAATATTATAATGTAATCTATATAAATAAAAATGTAATCTTCGTTTATGGGATTAACATAACTCAAAAACCAATGGACAAATTGCCGCCAGATTATCTGTTTTGCTATACAGGTAAAGTAGGATTTGATTGAGATGAAGCAACATCAACAATGCAAGATATGCAGATGATACCATACAACTGGCAGGTAATAGCAAAGACGTGGGACAATAACTGATGGAAATCAAGGAAGATTTGCAATTTATATAATGTATATAATATTATATCTTTGTTCACACACACACACATATATATATATAATGTTGTTGTTCATTCGTTCAGTCGTTTCTGACTCTTCGTGACCTCATGGACCAGCCCACGCCAGAGCTCCCTGTCGGCCGTCACCACCCCCAGCTCCTTCAAGGTCAGTCCAGTCACTTCAAGGATGCCATCCATCCATCTTGCCCTTGGTCGGCCCCTCTTCCTTTTGCCTTCCACTTTCCCCAGCATAATTGACTTCTCTAGGCTTTGCTGTCTCCTCATGATGTGGCCAAAGGACTTCAACTTTGTCTCTAGTATCCTTCCCTCCAATGAGCAGCCGGGCTTCATTTCCTGGAGGATGGACTGGTTGGATCTTCTCGCAGTCCAAGGCACTCTCAGAACTTTCCTCCAACACCACAGCTCAAAAGCATCGATCTTCCTTCGCTCAGCCTTCCCTAAGGTCCAGCTCTCACATCCGTAGGTTACTACAGGGAATACCATGGCTTTGACTAGGCAATGGATCTTTGTTGCCAGTGTGATGTCTCTACTCTTTACTATTTTATCGAGATGGACATTGCTCTCCTCCCAAGAAGGAAGCGTCTTCTGATTTCCTGGCCACAGTCTGCATCTGCAGTCATCTTTGCACCTAGAAATACAAAGTCTGTCACGGCCTCACCATTTTCTCCCTCTATTTTCCAGTTGTCAATCATTCTTGTTGCCATAATCTTGGTTTTTTTGATGTTTAGCTGCAACCCGGCTTTTGCGCTTTCTTCTTTCACCTTGATTAGAAGGCTCCTCAGCTCCTCCTCGCTTTTATTATAATGAAATCTATATAAATAAAAATGTAATGCTCAATTATGGGATTAACATAACTCAAAAACCACTGGACGAATTACCGCCAGATTATCTGTTTTGCTATACAGGTAAAGTAGGATTTGATTGGGATGAAGCAACATCAACAATGCAAGATATGCAGATGATACCGTACAACTAGCAGACAATTGCAAAGACTTGAGACAATAACTGAAGAAAATCAAGGAAGATTTGCAATTTATATAATGTATATGCTATTATATCT